GAATGACTGCTTGAACAGTGCTCCGTGGGATGTTCAAGGCTTGGGAAATCTTTTTGTAGCCTAAGCCTGCTTTACATTTCTCAATAACTTTATCCCTGACCTGTCTGGTGTGTTCGTTGGACTTCATGGTGTTGTTGCTCCCAATATTCTCTTAGACAACCTCTGAGGCCGTCACAGAGCAGCTGTATTTGTACTGACATTAGATTACACACGTGCACTCTATTTAGTCATTAGCACTCATCAGGCAATGTCTATGGGCAACTGACTGCACTCAGACCAAAGGGGGCTGAATAATTACGCACACCCCACTTTGCAGTTATTTGTTTGTAAATAACTAAATTTCTGATAGTAATTTAACATTCGATAAACAGATAAATAATGTGATCAAGACCAGCTTCTTTCAACTCTGCGTACTTCAATTCAATTCAATTCAATTCAATTTTATTTATATAGCGCCAAATCACAACATAAGTCGCCTCAAGGCGCTTCATACTTGCAAAGGTGAAGCCATTTCTCTGCTTCAGATACTTTGAGAAAGCATCCCATGCCTTTATTTCATCTCGCCTTGACTTCTGCAACAGCCTCTACTCTGGTGTTACTTCGTCATCTATTGGCCAACTACAGCTGGTTCAAAATGCTGTGGCAAGGCTTCTGACTGGCAAGCGGAAGTGAGAGCACATATCCCCTATATACTTACCTCGCTACACTGGCTGCCAGTAAGTTTTCAAATTAATTTTAAAATCTTGACAATTTTAAAACATTGCATGGACTAGCTCCTATATATCTTTCTGATCTTTTAAATTGGTACACTCCAGCGAGATCTTTGAGGTCCGTGGACCAAATGCTTCTAGCTGTCCCTAGGTCTAGATTACAACACAGAGGAGATCGGGCTTTTGCTGTGACTACCCCGAAACTGTGGAATAAACATATCAGGACCTCTCCAACACTAGATACTTTTAAAATGTGTTTAAAGACCCATTTTTACTCTTTGGCTTTTTAAAAAAATTATTATTCTGTATGAGTCTGTCATTATTTTATTCTTATTATTTTTCTTATCTTATTTATCTGATTATTCTATTGTACAGTACTTTGGCCAACAGTTGTTGTTTTTTAAAAGTGCTATATAAATAAAATTGATTTGATTTATTTTCTATTCCTCATTGATAATACTAGTATTTTATTAGTATTCTGAGCTGGGTGGGGGTGGGGGGGGTGTGTTAGGCACAGACACAATAATACTGCAGTATGACGGCCACCCTTGTTGTCCTTGTTGCCTGTATCATATCCCCCAGGTAATTAGTGGGTGGAGCTGACCTGACATCTGACCTGGGCAGATGGAGCCCAGGGCATTTCTCACATGCATTTCATTCCCTCCTAAACCATTTGTTGCATTCTTTAGAGCTGATTTCTGACAAAGGGTTAAGTCACATCTAAAAGGTGTTCTTATCTAGTAATTGTTTCACGCATGTTTTAAAGAAAAAAAATTACCTCTGTCTTTTTTGTAAACTCATAGATTTGGCCTAGGGCATATTATTCTATGCCCTACTGGCTCTGAAGACTGCATCTCAAACGATGACATTTTGCTAACATGATTTCTTACATCTCTTCCCGTACTTGGCCCTCCTCTGCCCAAGATGCTGTCTGTTTTTTAAAATGTCTCCAAGACATTGTTATTGATTTTTGCCCTGTCAGCCTATATTAAATTTGTCATCTAGTGAAGAAGGCCAGGCCATGGCGGGGGCGTAAGAACACGAAGAAGGAGATTAGATTAGTTAAACCCAACCCAAAGTGTCTAATTTCACATGAGTGTGTAAGTAATCTCACAGTTTTTATTCAACCATGGGACAACATGCTCCATACTGGGAACTTTGATCTCTGAAGCAAACTGCTGCACAGGGCGTCGGTGTATTCAAGTGCCACTGGGAATTGTCTCATTGTAAATGTTTTGTTTTGAATTAGTGCTTTACTATGCAGTAAAGCACTATATGGTGACAATGTATGCTTTAAGTGATGCGATGTGTTAAAAAAAATGTCTGCGCACAGTGCGCCCCTTTAAAAGGTGCTCTGAGGCTACTTCTGGTCGCATTCAGGGTGGTCTACTGTCGAGGTTTCCGGTTGTCCACGAAGGCAACACTGGTCCTGCGGAGGTTCGGGGAAGCGCATCTGAAGCGCGTTCACGTTTCCATACACACAAACACGCGCGCAGGCCATAGCAGCACACCGGGAGCATCCCTGAGAGGAGGGAGCGCTCGTTTTGGTTTACCATCTGGAAGAATCGCTGTATTAGCTTCTGTCGAGCTTGATCAAAGACTTTCTCTGACGACGCATAATGATCCCGGGCTCTGCCGGGCGCCGTGGATGCTGAGGCGTGCACAGAAATCCACTGTGGGTCGGGTAAAGGACCCCCGTGTCTCCTCCAGCAGAAGCAGCAAGCCCGAGACGGAATGTCAAGTAGCCCCGAAGAAAGTCACTCCAGGGGCGGCGGCTCCAACCGTGACTTAAAGACGGCCTCTTCGAGCAGCACGTCCCTCGAGGATGGAAATCCACCACCGCTGCACCAAAACCGTATACGCCAGGTGGGTGTCTGTCCGCAGCCTGCTCTCTGCACTAGCTGGCCCAGTCAGCCGTGTAACGAGCAGTCCAAAGCGCTGATGCTGATGCTGCTGATGATGCTGTGCGCCTAGGCAGAGCGGTCATAGGCGTTGCCGTGCTTTCATCGGCGCTGCCGAGAAGACAGATTTTCCTATGATGCTGCATAAACTGTGTTTAAATTAGCTGTTAATAATAGAAAAGCTCCTCAACCGTCTGTTTTGATGAGCGACGTAGAGGGACGTGCTTCAGCATTGTGTGATAATACCCAAACAGGCCAACTGTGCCAGTTGTTATGGCCGTCAAAATAAACACCACCAGGTCTGCTCTGGCTGAGGGGCTTCAGTGAAGAATGTTTACTTGTTATCATTTACCACTGAAAGTTTACTGTCTGGATCGGCCATATCATGACACACTGCAAGTTGTTTATAGTTCTGAATATTTGCTTGATTAGTTTGAACTTCAGATGTGATTTTTTTTCCCCAAATATTTGTAGGTCCATAGATTTGTGTCTGAGACTCTCAAGCTCTTGAAATGACACGCATACACTGTATGTGATATCTGCAACAACCTCACATAGAGTGCTGTGCAAAAGTCTCCACTCATTTCTTTACATTTCACTAAAAAGATGGGAAATACAGTAAGCTCAGCGATTTATTGAAACATGCAAACAGACAGAGGTAGTGAGCTCGAATGTCAATTTTGGCATGGGCACCTTTATTCTTCCATAAAGCCTGAACTCTCTTAGGCAGCTTTCTGATCATTTCTAAGTAGTCTTCAGGAATAGTTTTCCAGGCTTCATGAAGGACATTCAAATCTTCGTTTTTAGACGTTGGCTGCTTTTTGCTCTGTTCTCTGTCAAGATCCGCACTATTTCAATAATTGAGGTCTGGGCCCTGGGGAGGCCAATCCAGGATTGATTCTCTTCCATTATATGTTATTCTACTCAGGTGTACACACTGGCATACAGTAAAATACTGTATGTCAGTGTGTTTGGGATCCTTGTCATGCTGGAAAATGAAGTCATTTCCAATCAGATGCTGTGCAGATGGTATTGCATGGTGGATTTTATGTGTCAAATTGTTTGGTCATTGGTATTTTTTGTAGATTCAGGTAAAGAAATAGAACATGTTATAGTAAGGCACTTTGCTTATGTTTGAGTGCTTTATAGTTCAGTGTTTTTGTTAAATGGCTTAATACAAAAAAAAAATTCCTTTTAAACATTTGTCTGAAAATGGTCAGGTATAAGGACTGGACTGTATGGAAAAAGAAGCCAATATCCAAGAAAAACACTGAAAAACCTCCAGGAAGCCTGCAGAACTATTGCCCAGGACCACTTTAAAAATTACATGAAAGTATGGCTCCTTGAAAACAAAATATTAAGAAATGAGGGGATGGCTCAAGACTTACAGACTAACAGTACTGTTTATTTATCACTAAGTTCTAGATTTACTTTTATGAGTACACATGCTAGTAATATATAGAGTCCCTTTATCTATATCCAAAAGTCAATTTTCATAAATTTTCAGTATGAACAAGAAAATGGATGTAAAGCGTTACCATCTAGGCCTGATCATGCAATGTGTGTTTGGCTGCTCGGTGGAAGTGAGTCAGGAGATGGCAGAGGGTTGTTTCCTGTCTCAGTGCACTCTCTGAGGCTAATGTGATTTCAGTAATGGACTGTGGTGCTACATGTACACTTGCACACACAGACACACACTTAGACCCTTCTTTTGGGGTGGGGCCTTTGAGCTCAGACACTTGAATTTACCCGGAGGTTTTGTTTTTTTATAATTAAATGGCACTGAAATATCAAACGCCGCACTGCTTATCCGTGTGCTTGCTTGTTCGTGGTCAACTAATCACATCGTCTACAGGTTTACTATAGTTAGTTTAAAAAAAAATGCAATTTGCATACTTATGTTGATGTGCTCCACAATGAAAGCAGAAAATAGATTTCTTAATTTTCAGATAACAAACTGGATTCACGTTTAGGCCTCTAAACAGGCTGTGACACTCAAAGCTTGTTTAGAGGCTAAACTGGTACAATAAGCCACACCTTACAGCTTGAGGCTGTATGACACTGACCTATTGATTTCCAATATATAGTGCTTAACAAATTTATTAGACCATCACCCACTTTACATTTTACACCACAGTTGCACTAAATCATTGGAACTGGTAATGACTAAAACTAATTTCACATACATGTAATCATTAATACACCAGTATGTGCAAGCCCTTTAACTCATATATTTTTAATGCTAAAATATGAATTTTTACAGTTTTAGGTGGTCTAATAAATTTGATTAGCACTGTGTACGTACAATCATTTGAAAAACAAGTTTTCACAGGTCTCTGAGGATCAAATCTACAAAAAAATAAATGAATCAAGGTGTTGCAATGGGCCAAAGTACAAACCTCCACCTGATGGAAATGATGTGGTGAGAGAGCGCTGTATAAAGAAGAGCTTGCAAGCCTCAGCAAAGCAAAGAAGAGTGGAGATCTTTCACAACAATATACTGCTAAAAGATTACTTTAACTTTTTGCTCCTTAAGGTGGTTCCACAAGCTAGTGAATCATAACAGGACTGCATGGAGTCCTGTTAAAACAGTTTTTCACATGACTGTATATTACTTTTTTTTTTTTTTACAGAGAAAAATGTAGGAAAAGATGCCTGAGGCAATGATGAGTAACGAATTGTTCAGTAGAGTGCACTGGGTGCATATTGCACCACAGCTGAGCAAACAGTGGTGCAAAATCAAAATACTTTATATAGTCAGTATGCCCAAAACACAAAAAGATATTACAAATCTTTGAAAACTTGGATTGGAAGTGGATTAAGGTTTCTGTGTATCGTTATGAATGACTCTGATATTCACTTTCTTCACCCCCTGCTTTGGTCCCATCCAACTCCTGAGTCTTGTTCTTGCTTTATGTTGGACTCTCTTCACCAGCAAGCTTCTACTTTCTTTGTCTGCCATTTTGTTAGGGCACACTGGTTTTATCAAAGCCTTTTTATATCTGCTGTTGCTGGAAATGGCTTTAATGAGCACAGTGAAAATTAAGTATCCTAAATGTGCATGGCCCAGCAAGGAGAGGTACAGAGCGAGTTCTTATGTGAAAGCAAATCATGTGATACGTGTGATAATTTTACTCACCGTGAGTATAAAAAATAGCACATTTTGGCCTCTTAGGATACATCACTTTAACTTGCAAGAAAGACTATGGCACATCAAAGGGATACTGTCCAATTAATAGGCTTTTGGCACAAAGAGTACACTTGTCTTGTCTTGTTGTCTTGCAAGTGTGAAAAAGCATCTAGCTGAGTGGATACTCTTGATTTTATCTGTTAAATACATCAGAAAATGTCTTTCTAATAACGATACCTTGGTTTATGGAGGACTTTAAGGTGTCAGAAGAAACAGGATTGACTGCAGGAACAATTCTTGTGTTTTTCTAAACCGAACTTTCAAAGATTTTAATCCTGCAAACAAACTTTGTTTCATCTCCAGTGTACTTTCCAAACCACAGATAGACAATATGCGCAAAACTTTAAAAAAGCAAGTTGACATGAATAAATGTAATATATTACAGCACTTTAATGTTTAATCTTATGAATAATCTAAATCTTATCGTTGAGCTGGAGTTCACTAAAACAATAAAAGAGCTCTGACACAAAAGGAGAACATGACTAAGGGAGACTGGGATGTGAAGATCTTATTTTCAGGTCTAAAAATACTCCTGTCTCTCTCGTGATTGTCCTGGAGAGAAATTGCTTTTTCCCAGCCAAATGGCTTTGTGTCCATGTCTCTGCGCTCACTGCAATGGACCAATGTCACTGTTCATTTGCACGCTACTCTGAGCTGTTGTTAAATGATTGCTTTCTGCAGTGTACTCCCTCCTCTATCTGAAAGATATGTGGAGTGCGTCAAAATATGTAAACTACTTTCCTGGGCTCGAATAGTAGATTCTTAGGAGCAGAGATTGATTCTACTAGATTTTATGTTCATTGCAGTCTAAGACAAGTCAAGGAGCTATTTGAACCTTTTTGCTTTGGTGGAAAATGCTGCTCCCCATGTAGATACAGATATAAAACCCAGAAAAGCGTAATGCCTTCATTTTATATCCAAAGATGATGGGTTTAGGCAGCTTGACCTGTTTCTTATTCAGGACTTGATATGAAGGTCCTATTTCAAGTGTCAAGCCCTGTCGCTGCATGCTCCTTTCTTTTGACACCTTTTCTTGCGCTGCGTTCCCTCTCCACTTTCTTTTCTGGTTGCCAGTTGTCTTTTCTCCTCGAGAGCCTTGCTTTCTCGTTCTTTCCTCTTTAAAGGGGTTTGACTCTTTAGGTTGGTTTTCTCCTTGTCTTTTTGGCTGCCTTCCCTACCCATCTCTCATTTCCCAGCAAAATACCCCCCCCCCCCCCCCCCCCCCCCCCCCCCCCCCCCCCCCCACACACACACACACACACACACACACACACACACACACACTGTTTTTGCCCTGCACTCCTCTCCACTAGTTCCTACACTCATGTCCTGATGTGGAAGGAGGTCAGATTACACTGCAGCCTTTGACATTTTCAGCTTTCTCTTTTCCGCCTCTCTGTCTGTTGCTTTTATGCCTTTCTGTTTTTGCCTGCCTGTCTATCTGTCTGTCTTTTTCCACTGGGAGTCTCATGATGGGACTCTGCAGGAAGGGAGTCCTAATGGAGCCAAGATCTTCATTACATTACTTCAGAACAGCTACATCAATGTACACCCACATATAACCACTGGAAACGTTTGGGGTCAAATACTCTATATTCATTCAAATTGCTAAACGCACATGTAGGTAAAGCATTATACTGTATATTAGTATTTACCAGAGGCTTAACAGCACATTCCTGATTATAAATTCATGCAAAAACCTGTAAATGACTGCAGGTCAACAACTCCAGTACCCGATGGTTGTCAAATGCCATTAACAATTTATAATGTGGGCT